GTTGAGAAGGACCCATCCACTACCACCCTCTGGGTGCGGCCCTCCAGCCAGTTCGCAACCCATTTGACTGTATGGGTGTCTACACCACAGCCCCCCAGTTTCTTAATAAGAACGGGGTAAGAGACAGTGTCAAAAGCCTTCCAGAAGTCCAGGAAGACTATGTCCACTGCTACCCCTGCATCTAATGATCTGGTGATCTGATCATAAAAGGCCACCAGGTTGGTCTGACGGGACCTGCTACTGATGAACCCGTGTTGGTTACCCCTAAGTATGCAGTCCCCTGCTGGCCCCTCCTGGATGTGTGCCAGAATAATTTTCTCGAACAGCTTGCCTAGGATCGAGGTAAGACTAACTGGCCTATAGTTTCCCCGGTCCTCCTTCCTCCCTTTTTTGAAGATGGGAACCACGTTGGCCCTCTTCCAGTCCTCCGGCACCACTCCAGAGCACCACAAATGCTCGTAAAGCTGTGCCAGCGGTCTTGCAATGACCTCGGCCAATTCCTTTAGAACTCTAGGGTGGAGATCATCCGGTTGAGCACTGCTGTCTACAGTGATGGGTTTTTTGTGGCACACAGCTTCTCTAACTTTGATTGCAAGGTCCACAGGGCAAGGAATATGTCTTTTATTCTTTGTTCTTAAAGGTCTATGCAAATGTTTACCATTTAATACATTTTTAATAATTATGAATTAGCTTTGCTTCATTGGTACAATTTGACACTGAAATGTCATCTTCATTTAAATTCTCTCCTGTCTCTTGCTTATTAACATTCTGTAGTTTTATAATCAAAGTATTGTCATTCTGCTATTTAAAGAGGAGCTGTATTTTATCCAGTCATGGACATTTGATAACCAAAAGCAACTGCAGCATACATTAACACTGACATTACATAGATCAAGCAAGAGTATAATTTCTGGCACTTTGCTATCATGAGCTCATACCTTAGTTGAATTTCAGTCAGGTCGAAAAGTTGACCAAGCCCTCTTGGCAACCCCAACAGCAGAGCTGCAAAATAACTTTTTGCCTAAGATCTTGAAAATGGCAGTTTCATAATATAATATCCTTTAAACCCATTTCTAAGTCAAAGTACAATCAGTATACAGTCTGGATGTGCCCTTTTGTGCTTTGGAGTCTGTATTTAAGAATAGAAAATAAATTATTTGATAACAAGTAAGTACAAGTACAATGGAAATAAAAGACCTTAAAAATAAAATTTCATTTTTAGGTAATCAGAAGATTAATATATGAAGTTTGACTTCGTGTTTTTTTTATTCTTGTAATGGATTTAAAATCTATTTTCATGCAGAACAGTGGTATTCAGTGACACAGGAAGTTGTTCAAAAGCTGAAAAATGAAGTTTTCATGTTAATAAGGAATAATGATCATGTTCCATAATATTTAGTGTAAATGCCTATTTAAACAACTAGGAATATTTAAGAAAGCTGTGAGCGAGAAAAAATTATGCAAGCTCCCATTTAATTGAAACCTGTAAGTTTCTAGTAAACTTTATTGAATGGCTTTTTATGTAATGTGGCTTTGTGTTTGTGCACAGCAACGTGTAATACAAGGTTTACCCAGCAACAGTAACTACTGAAAATGCAACCCCCCCACAAAAAACCCCAACCCATAAGACCTTCACCAAGTAATACAAGGACACTTACGAATCATAACAGCAAGCATATCTTGATTGCCTTAAAACTATTTTAAAGTTAGTGATAAATAAATAAGTTATAATTAGGTGTAGTGTGTAGCTGTGTTGGGCTAAGGACATGGGCAGAAAAGGTTCTTTGGGTAAGTCTGATATCTTTTATTAGACCAACTCAAATAATTGGAAAAATTCTTCTTTGCATTGACTGTTTTTTTGTATACGGATTGGCCTCTGGTTGCTTTACTATTCCATCCAGGAACAGCACAGACCAACTGCAGATGCTTCCTCAGCCTCACAAAGGGTATCTATACTCGAAAGCTTTCAGAGAAGAATTTTTCCAACTTTTTGAGTTGGTCTAATAAAAGATATTGGATTTACCCAAAGAACCTTGTCTGCCTAAGTTATAACGAGAAATAAAATTGCGTTGGCTGCCTGTCTACAGAAATTAGGATATGATTTTTCTGTGTTAATTTCTCATAGGAAAAATCCCAACTTTTATTTTCAGTTTAACAAACTTCAGCAAAAACTGTATAGTTCTTAGGTAAAGTAGTATATTAAAAAAATCAGTCTATTTTAAATTACTGGAGAGTGAGGAGGGCAATTGATTTAATAGAGAATTAAAACTGTTGGCATTTTTTCCACCAATGATGACTTTCCTTGTTTATTACCTTATAGCATTTTAAGTTTTCTTTTTGAATTGATATGTTGTTTATCATTTTAATTAAATTTGTTTTTTAGGGTGATAACATCATCATATGATAAAACAGTAAAAGCTTGGGATATGGAAACTGGAAAAATGCTTGTAAGTATTGATATTAAAGTATGTACAGCAGAAATATCAAGCTTCTGAAGATTAGAATGTACAGAATTGGTAAAAATGGAATTGTTACTTTGTGGGTCAATGTGGTGTAGCTGAAATTGGTATGTTAGAATTTTAATCTTAGCTTTGAAGGTGATTAACTGTGATTTTTGGGCAAGCCACAATTGACGTATCTCAATTATGCCATCTGTGAATTGGGTCTAATGATGATTTCCTACCTCAAAGCTAGTTTGAGGTTTATTTCATTTAATACTTGTGAGAATTTTAGTACCTAAATTAGGAAGGCATTATCTGTTTATAAATTTCTTGTTAAAGCAAAATTGGAAGTTGGTTAAAATAAGGGAGGAAAACACTTATCAAAAGTAATTTAAAATAAAACAACAGTGATAAAAATTGTTCTGCCTGAACCTGTTTAGTGGTTGTAGTAGAAATAATAGGAAATAATTTCATTACTAGTCCCTAAGAATAACTTTCAAAATGTCTTGTTTTCTTTTTCAGTGGACAATAGAGCATGAAGGCCTTGTAACTTCATGCAATATTTCTTATGATGGTAAATATGTGGTATCTGGCTTGGACAAAGAAAATGCTATATGTATTACTGATGCAGTAAATGCAACAACGGTGATGTATCTCCAAGGTAAGTCTTAAAAATTAGCTATATTTGTGTTCAATTGTTGAATTTTTAATTGCTTGCAAAAATGAGAAAAGCTAGATTAATATTATCCCAAGATCAAATTCAAATAACCTTACTTGTGGTTGGGAGGTAATTTTGTGTAAGAGTATTTCACAGAAGATATAGCACAACAATGTCCTCTTTGTGGCAATGTTTACAGAACATCTGGATTTTCTTACAAGATATATTCATCCATTTACTCTTTGGCAATGTGGATTCAAATGGGTCCAGGTCAGAGTCTTAACTTTATGTTTTGCTTTCTGTTACTTGTTTTCTATTTTCTCATATCTCTTTCCTTTACTTTACAAGTGTTTTCTGTAATAGACTCTTCTGAGGCTCTTGAATTTTAATTAGATTTTTCAGGATCAGATTGGTGCTGCTTGCATTAGTGATTCAGTATAGTGCAGGATGACAATAATATTTCTAAGAAAAACAGCTCCCTGCTGTGTTTCTGGAGAGGGATCAGGGCTGTGAATCCCAAGCAGAAGAAGGATTCTCCTCACAGCTCAGAGTAAGGTGCCTAAGTCTGAGAGAGGGATGGAAGTTTAGACATATCTTGTCGTTAGTATTGCCAGCATACTGGCAATGTTAAATGGCTTTTTGCTCAACACGCTGGCTTTGTGTGTCCTGTTCAATTTACCTTACTTTGTCCTTGCATTTTATAGTGAGCCTAGGCATCTATATTTGGTCTGTGGATTCCACTATAAAGGGACATTGGGTATGTCTACACAAGATGCTTTACTGCCCAGTAGACTAATTTACTGTGCAGTAAATCCTCACCATCTACACATTCAGGCAGTTACTGTGCAGTAAATTAGACTACTGTGTGGTTAGTTTACTACCTGTAAATACAGATAGTAAACTAACTGCATGGTAGGTACTGTGTGCAGTAGCTCATGTGTAGACACTAACCAGGAACAAATTTGCTCCTGGTCAGCCATACCACTAGGGAGCCAGTCTCCTACTTGGGCCGAAGTTGGGCCAGTCCCATGGCAGGGATGGCTCTATGCCTGTCCCGGTCTGGTCTTTCAACCCCTGGCCTGACCCTGGGTCCTGTGGCTCTTGCTGCTTGCCCTTGGGCATTGGGTCCCGGAGGAGTGGCACTGTGCCAGCTGCAGCAGGAACCTGGCTCTGGCCCCCAGGGCCTGCCCCACCACCTGGCTGTCTCCTACACACTGTGCCCCTCTGCTGCAGTCATGTGCTGAGGCCCAACGGTACCCAGAATCTCTGGCTTAGTCCCCAGGGTCCATCAAAGGCCTCACCAGTGCCGCAGACATCATCCTGGGGCACCAACTGGACAGAGAGACTACTGACTTACTCAAACTGGTGTGATGCCATGGTGCAGAGCCAGTTTGCGTAGGGCCGCCTCTCAAACACTCATATATATATATTTGAGACCCTGGGAGGCCATATGCAGGAGTGTGGTCACCAGTGGTCTGTGCAGCAATACTGCATAAAGATCCAGGACCTGTGGAGCCCAGTGGGTCTTGTCATGGACCAGTTGCCAATCTGGGGCTGCCCACTGGACCATGTTCTTTATGCTGGTTTACAGGGACCCTGGATGTAGCTGCACTTTGTATTCCAGCACAGGCAGCCTGCTGGAGCCCCTGCCAGGGCCCAGCAGTGATGACCAGTCTGTAGGGAAGGTACCCTCAATGCACAAGGCATAGGTCCCGGCATGTTTCCCACCCCAAGCTTTGTCTAGCAGCTCTGGGAGACTGGGGCAATGACTACCCTATCCACCTCACTGGGTGTGCATCCCCAGTGAGGTGGACAGGCTGGGGATGGCACCAGCTGTGACCAACTCCAGCTCCTCCCCAAAGGGGGCCACTGCCCAGACAGCCAGGCACTGTGCCTCTGCCCCCCGGGGCACCTCATTGCCACTTGCAGGGACAGACTTGGACCCTGGGACTGCCTGCCATGCCCATCTGGTAAGTCCCGACAGGGAGGAGGGCCGGGAGGGGGTGGGTGGAAAGGGGTGGAACATGGCATTGCAGCCACCTGTCCCTGGGCTGCACACCTGGAGCAAGGGGCCCTGTGTGGGGGAAGGGCCCTCCACTACCTTCCCTGCCCTCCCCCTCCTCACTCTGCTTGGCCAAGCTCCCCCTGTCCCCCGGAGGCCTCCCCCACAACATGCAGGGAAGCGGGAGGCAGTGCAGGACTTTACGGAGCAACCAGCACCCTCCCAGGTAGGCAGCCAGGGTTCTGTCACATGCAGAGAAACTTGATGGCAGTAGTGATCTCCTCCTTGGCCACAGGCACTCATAGTGTAGACAGACACACCTGTCCAGGGGGTGGTGTATGTTGCATGGGGCACATTAGGAAGCATGGGCTTGCCTGAGATTCATAGATTCATAGATTAAGGGTCGGAAGGGACCTAGTAGATCTTCTAGCCCGACCCCCGCCAGGGCGGGAGAACAACAAAAAACCCCAGAAAGAGAAACGGGACTCAAACGAGTCCAGCCAGGTAGGCATCCAGCCTCTTCTTAAACACCCCCAGGGTAGGGGCCAGCACCACTTCCCTTGGAAGTTGGTTCCAGCTCCTAGCCGCCCTAACCGTGAAGTAGTTTTTGCGGATGTCCAATCTATACCTCCTCTCCATCAACTTGTGCCCATTACTCCTTGTTATGCCAGCGGGCGCTAGGGGAAACAGCGTCTCCCCCAAACCCTTCTGGTCCCCCCTAGTGAGTTTATAGACGGTCACCAGGTCCCCCCTCAGCCTTCTCTTGTGGAGGCTGAATAGGTTCAGGTCCCGCAGTCTCTCACTGTAGGGTCTGCCCTGTTGTCCCCGGATCATGCGGGTGGCCCTCCTCTGGACCCTCTCCATGTTGTCCACATCCCTCTTGAAATGGGGCGCACAGAACTGGACACAATACTCCAGCTGTGGCCTGACCAGCGTCGCGTAGAGGGGGAGGATCACCTCCTTGGCTCTACTCGAGATGCACCTGTGGATGCACGACAAGGTCCGGTTAGCCCTGCCAACCATGACCTCGCATTGTCGGCCCATGTTCATCTTGGAGTCAATAATGACTCCAAGATCTCTTTCTGCCTCCGTGCTCTCGAGTAGGGAGTTCCCCATTGTGTAAGTGTGCTGCTGGTTCCTACTGCCCAAATGCAGCACCCTGCACTTGTCCGTGTTAAAACGCATCCTGTTCCTGTTAGCCCACCCCTGTAACCTATCCAGATCCCTCTGCAATCTCTCCCTCCCTGCTAGCGTGCTCACCTCCCCCCAGATTTTGGTGTCATCAGCGAATTTAAACAGATGAGGTGCTGCTGAAGTTCAGTGCCCTGTGCCACGACTGGCTGGTCACCATGGTAGAGGAACAGCTGGCAGATTTGTGGGCCTGGTACATCCAGGACATCATGAGGATGTGGCAGAGGGACAGGGAGGACTGTGTGTTCTGGGATAGGCTCCTGGCCCTTGAGAAGAGGCATACTGGCCTTGGGAAGATGCTGGAGGCACAGGAGTGACAGGCCATTGTGGTGGCCTAAGCAGTGGAAGGCACAGAGGAGGACTGCTGGGTGCTGGACACCATCCTGGTCCTAGTGGCCACCTTCGTGCTACCCACTGTCCAGCCCCCAGGCCTGGTCCCATCTGTCTGTAGCAGCCACCCACAGCCCAGCAGCAACCCCCACCCACTAGTGGCCTTGTGCCAAGGTGCAGTGCCACCAGCAGTGGCCAGGGTCCCCCAGCAACTGTCCCCCCCTTCCTGGGCTATACCCCTCTGCCTGGGCCTTTCCCCGACCACTTGTCCAGACACCATGCGGCCCCTGAGTGGGAACTTCCCACAGGAGGGTCAGTGCCACACATGGGTCCTGCTGGCCTTGGCCCCATGATGGAGGACAGGAAGACAGCAGTGCAGCCAAAACATTGGTTGTCCTCAACCCCAGCCTCACCACAGTGTCTGCACCTGCTGTGGCGTGGCCAGAGACTGGGGTGCTGGGCACCTGTCCCTGGCATCTGTCCTGTAGGTGTCCCCACCCCTGGGAGGGCACACAGCACAATGTACATAGTGTGCATGGGGAAGAGGGTGCTTTATGGGTGGTGGGCAGTGGGGTTGGTGGTGGAGTTTTGTTGTTGAGGAGGGAGGGAGTCTTTGTTTGTGGGGGGGGGGAATAAAGACTGTTGCTGGAAAGTGTCTGCAGTTAGTGTGAGCTGAGGGTGCAGTGCGGGCCTGGGGTCCATGGCTGGTCAGCCAGGTGCCCTAACGGGGGGTGCAAGAGGAGGTGGTCCAGCAGCGCCTCTTGCACACGATGCCTAGGCTCTTGCTGCTGGGTGTATGGCTTGTGTAGGGCCTTGGGGGGAGGTGGGGCTGTCGCTGTCACTGCTGCCATAGCTGGCACTCCTGCTGTCAGGCGTCCTCCACCTGCTGTGCCTCCTCTGCCCAGATCTTGCGGAAGAACTCCCTCTGGGCCTTGCATATGTTATGCAGCACACAGGTTGTGTCTTGGGGGATGTTGACTTCAGTGACCTCAAGGTCGGCAGTGAGGTTGCGCCAGTGTCCCTTTAGGTGGCTGAAGGCGTACTCCACCAGTGCATGGCTCCAGCCTAGGCACTTGTTGAAATGTGCTTGGCATGGGTCAAGCTGGCCAGTGTAGGCCCACATGAGCCATGGCAGCAGTGGGTAGGCTGGGTCCCTGATGGGGCGGGGTGGGACAATCACATTGCCCAGCTGCAGGTCTAGAACACATGGTGCAAAACACCTGCTCTCCACCAGGGCTGGCAGGGCAGAGTTCCCCAAGACCCAGGCATCATGGGTGCTGCCAGACCAGCCACGGTTGATGTTTGGGAAGGCAGCTCAGTGGTCTACTACAATCTGAAGCACAACTGAGTGGAAACCCTGTTGGCTGTAGAATGGGCAGTACCTCTGGGGAAGGCAGATGACAGCGATGTGTCTCATCCAGGGCCCCCATGCACTATGAAAACCCAGGGCTCAGAATGCTGCCACCTCCAGGGGGTCATTGCCTGAGTATGGTGTGGCCCAGCATGTCCTGGAGGGTGCCACAAACCTAGAGGGTGCCACAGACCTCCAGGATGGCCTCTCTGGCAGTTGCAGGTGGCCAACATACCACAGATTAGTGGGCATGCCAAGCTTGAGGAGGGTGATGGCCACCTGGGTTTCCATGGGGAGGGGAGGCCATATGGTGGTGGGCTGCCACTCCAGGTACAGGCAGAGCTGGTCGAGTAGCTCCTAGAATGTGGCCCAGGTCATCCAAAAGGAGTCCACCCACTGCTCATCGTCCTATGTGCATTGGATGACATAGAGCCACCAGTCCTGGCTGGCAGGGCAGGCCCATAAGTGGCAGAGGTGGAGCTCCAGGAGCTCACGGATGGCACCTGCAGTGGTGTCCATTTGGGTGTCATCAGCATCCCTGCCACAGTCCATGGGGCAGCTAAGGGGCTGGTAGGTGACAGCCGGGGGGGCAGGCCACCGACAAGGCCTGAGCCTGGGCATGTGGCCACACAACATGTGGGGGGCAGACAGGGTTGAGGCTGACTTGAGGCAGGTGGCAGTCACTGCAATGGCAAACAGAAGCCCATGGCACTGGTCGTTGATGCGGGGGCCTGGTTGTGGTGCAGCCATTGCACGCTGGGCACAGGCTTCGCAGACATTGTTGTAGAGGGTTGTGCCAGCAGGCTGCAGACTACTTTGGACCAGAGAAGCATGTGGTCAGGGGGCAACATGCAAGGCTCCCTTTTTAAGAGTACCCTGGCATAAGGCAGCTATGGCCAGAGCCTGCACAGGGGTAGAGCATGGCAGGGCAGAAAGAGACCAGGATCAGCCTATTCCCATAAGGAACAAATTTGCTCCCAAGAGGCTGCACATGTATATGCCTTCCCAGGGCTGTCTTGCTGTGCAGTGTTTTACTGTGTAGTAAGCCTAATGCACATTTGTAGTGCATGTAGACACACCCGCTATGTATGAAAAGTAGAGGCCAAAACACTATTCACTGCAATAAGTAAGTCCTTTTATGGGTTTAGCCCTTTGGGAATTTGGCCCATCTCAAAGTAGGACTCTGAAGCCCACATCTGAGAATCCTGCAAAACAGTGCTTTCAGAGAAGCAGAATTCTGAGATTCTCTTGTTGGTGTTATTTGTTGTAGATCATCACAGAAGCACGGTCACAAGATGCTGCTTTGATCCTGATAACCAGAGAGTGGCTTCAGTCTCATATGATAAGACCATAAAGCTTTGGGATATTGTGGCACAATCCACCACAATCACAATTGATGAGTAAGAAACAGTAGTATAACTAAACCAAGGGCCATGTGTACCTTTTAAAAGTACCAGGGAGATTTGTGATACAGTTTGTAATAGAGAAAATGAAAATCAAACAGGCCAATTATTTAACCCAAACAGGGCAATACATAAAGTGAAAAATATGCAAACAATATACAAAGGTTGAGCATGATGTTCTATGTATACTTCATGCCATGAATAAGAGATGAACTATAAGCTCTGTAGAACTATAAGCATTTCTAAAGAGAATAGTCAGAGTTTCTAGGTACTGAAATAAAAAGATGGATAATGGAGGAGGCAAATGATAGCATTTGGTAGCATAAGTAGGGTGGGGAAAGTAAGAAAGCTCCTCACATCCTGATTTAGAGGGGGTGCCAGCAGCATTCTGCAGGGATGGACACCTTTAGTCCTTGGTGCTCAGCATATCCGCCCCCCTGTTATCCAGCATCAAAAGCACCTTTGCCCAGAGTGCCAAAATTGCCATCATTGTACAGTAATATTTTGTAGTGTAAGTGAGCTATTGGTGTGTTTCCTAACGATTAGAAATATTATAGGCTAACAATTAACAAATGAGAAGAAGTTAAATATCACAGGGAGTGGTGAAGAGTTTCAGTGGGATAGCAGTGTGTGTAAGAAATGAAACTTCAAAGTCTGAATGTCAGGTTTTAAATGTATATACCTCCTTCAACCAAAAGATCAGTTTTTAACAGGTTCAAACTAGCCCTTCATCATTCTGTGTTAAATAAGTTGTTAAATTGCATGTGTTGTAAGGACTGTTTCAGATGAAACCATAACACCTGAAATCCATCCTGCTCATCCTTACCATAAAGTTATTACAGGGCTTTTCTACCATTGGCTCTTTGTCTTAGTATCCAGTTCACCTTGTTCTGGAGGATGTTTCTTCATTTCATTGGAATACATATACAGAACCCAAACCTGAAAGGTTTTGATTCTCCCACAACTCTAATTGAAATCAATATTATATGAAAATCATTATCTAAATATAGAATATTATAATTCTTGTAAGAAATGAGTATACAAAAATGAAGATATAAAATCTGCTATTAAAAATATTAACAATGGCTTTAAATGAATTCATCCATTTTCATTTTGTATAATAAAAACATTAATCATAAATCTTCTGGATAAAAATTACCAATAACAAAGCCCTTTGAAGGATTAGGAATTTACTTAGTATAGGAAACTCAAATCTGGAGCATTTTAATAAGCCTCTTAATAAATTGCAATGAATTTCCTGTAGAGATGCCTGTAACCCTTTCCCCATTGCACACTGTGGGAGTCGCTAAGGCTTTATCAGGTTCTAGAACTTCCAGATTTCTTTCTTGGGTCTCACTGGTTCCAGAATTGGAATTTAATGTTAACCTTTTCCCTTGACTGTGTTTAGTTTCGTTAGGTTCAAATTTCTGTGTAGTTTCATGAAATGTGATGATAGATGCTGATTATCTGAATGATCAAAGGATGCTTTTGAGGAAGTATACAAAAGTGTCATGTGTATCAGCATCCCCTGTGCTGAAAAATGGTGGCGGGGCACTTTGAACTAAAGCTTTAATTCAAAGTGCCCCACTGCCATTTTTTGGCACGGAGACACTGATACACATGATGCCAGAGTCTGCTGGAGCATGTTTATTTCCATGCTCCAGCAGACTTGATTAACTGAGTCTGCTCAAGCACGTTGGAGCCAGCTCCCTGGACATCAATACAATCCCTTTGTTTCTAATAAAACTGGAGTATGTTATAGTATTTAGAGAATTTATTACTATACTGCTGTGAAAAGAAGCAGGTAACAAATTCTCACCAAAAATCAGTTAGGATTCAACCCTGCAAGATGTTGAGGACTTGACAGTCCAGTGCAGTGGCGATGCGTAGGGGGTGCATGTGCACCCCCTGAGAGTGCTGGTGCACCCCGTGACAGCCAGCATTCCCCACTTAGGTGACAGGCAGGAGTGCTTGTGCCCCCCCCAACAGTCCCAGCACGGGAGTGGGAGCACAAGGAGGACTGCTGGCACTTCCAGGCACACTGCTGGCACTTCAGGGTTGGCATGACCCCTCCACCTCCGTTTGGTGCGATTGGCTGCAGGGGGACCCCCGGCCCAGTTGGTGTGATTGGCCACGGGGGGGGGACGGGACGACACCCCCCCGGTCACTGACTGGCCACTGGGGGGCAAGTGCCCCCCCCAACTCAGGAGGCACGAGTCACCCATGGTCCAGTGCATGAGGATGTGTTTGACTTTGGCATGTAATTAGTCCCGGTGACTTTTACAGCACTAATTAAATGCTTAAAGTTAATATTCTTTAATGTTCCTCTAGATTTTTAGACTAGATAGTAGTTGCAGGATTAGGCCCTTAAAATATCAAAATAGTTTTAAAAAATCACAGTACCCTATTGCAGTGGTTTTCTTATATATTTCAGGGGACATAGCAATGTCATCTCAGACTGCTGCTTTACCTTAGATGGCCGTTACTTATGCACAGCATCTTGGGACAGAACCTTAAAAATCTGGGATATAAAAACAGGGGACTTTCGTCATCATGGACCTATTGTCTTGAAAGAAGGTCATCAAGGTTCTGTTAGTTCCTGTATTTTTAGCAAAGATGGTGAGTTATGTTAAAGACCATAATAGAACATCTTGAAATATGTACTAGTAGGAAATTTCAGATGAGTCACAGTGGTTGCATGCCAACAATATGACTAATTCAGTTGTCACTTTCAAAATTAAATGTTTTTAATTCTGATTAAATGGCTACCCACGTAATCTATGTAAATTGAAATTGATGATCTTATGTTCTGCTTTAATCAGACATCTGAAACACTGCTTAATTGGTATAATCATCAAGATTTACTGTAAAAAGATCATGATGAAAAGAATTTGGTAGAAACAAAATACTGCACTACCTTAGAAATGGAGTGCTTACTGATATTATCCCAGTACAAGTTACTGCACTTAAAGCACTATGTAGAGTAACTACTAAGTATTGTTAAGCATAATGAATGGGATAGACCATGGCACATCTTTTGACAGTACCTTCCAGGCCCAAAAGAACTTTGATATTTTGGAAAACCTTCATGGACTTTGTAAGATGTTGTAGCAGCACACTAAACCTATGAGGTGTTAAGTGGTTAATATTCAGAAAACTTAGATGAGGGCTGTCCAATTTCTAGGTGGTCACATGCCATGTGGGTGGCATGTTGCACAGCACCAGCATGGCTCTCAAACTCCCCCCACTGCACCACACCATACAGGTACCCTGACCACCCCACCTCTGCTCCCCAGCTACTTACTGCACAGTGCTGTGGGCTCACAGTGCTGTGGGCTCCCCCATGGCCCTCGGCTGCACCTTGCTGCCCTATCTCACCCAGTGTTGTCAAATCTTGCAAGAAAAAAACAACACTGCACTGCCTTTAAAAACAAGCCCCAAACAAGTCCAACCCATTTCAAAGAGAGGGGGATCTTATCAACCCACAACTCTCAAAAAATTGCAATGACATTTAAAAAAAAACAAGCCCAATTCCACTTATAAGTGGATTTGGCAACACTGATCCCACCCTGCCCCCTGGTGTGAGGACAGGACATGGAACCTGAAGGGAGGACAGATGGGGAGCCCACGGACCTCAACTGCTGCTGCACAGGGAGTGATGGTGGGAAGCAGTGGCTGGGTAGGAGCCTGGGGGCTGCATATTAACACCTTGTGGGATGTGTGGCTTATGAGCTGCAAATTTAGATAATCTTGTCTGCAAGGTAGTAACTGTATCCTGAATGAAATAAACTTTGAAGCTGAAGAATGAAATGTTCATTTAGTCCGTGATATTTTATTTCAGAGTTGAAGGAAATACCTTTAAGTTATTGTTATGTTAAGTATCCTCTTACCACCGCTTTGCTTTGCTTGACTACTGCAAGTACTTAAGCTTTATTTGGCTGTTTCACCTCAGAACCAAATCTTCTAAGTTAAATGAGTTAGGTACAGAATCTGTGGAAAGAAATCGGACTAAGAACATACAACATGATAGCACCAACTAGATGGGCAGTAGCTGAATTGCAGATAGGCCTCTGATTGACCACTGGTGTTTAAAATTATTGCTTCTACCTTCAAATCATTATGGTTCAACAGTTCAAAATGAACTAGATTACTATAATACATTTATCTGACTATCTACTCCATAAATTAGAAATATACTCTATTATTTTTCAGTCAAAGACATAGATTTGCCTCAGGAAAAGTTTGGAAAACCTCCTAGTACGTGAATATACATAAACTGTTGAAAGCACTAAACTTATCATTACAAGAAAACCTGTAGTAATAAGCATGTGATTTTTTTTGGTAGCAGGAGTGTAGCAATCCTAAAAATGACTTTTGCTATTTTACAATGCCTCCTCAAATTTCAAAGTCAACACCTTTTTTAAATCTGTTTTTTCTCAAAGCTTAGTTATATATTTGATAAATTTAATCTCATGCTGGTTTCTGTACTCATTAAAAACCCCAGAAAGGACTTCCACTATCTTGTTAAAGCATGACTAATACCAGTATATTATTTAAATTTTATTAATATAGTCTGACTCACTGTTGGAAGGAGTCAAATTTTTTGTCTGTATGAGAAAGCAAATTAATATGGTATTCTAATCTTGTCTTTCAGCATCTCTTGTGGTGTCTGGAGCATATGACAAAAATATAGCTGTATGGGATATAAGAACAGGATATAAAAAGCTAACTTTACAGGTATTGATTCAGTACTTATTTGATTGCTAGTTTTAGTAAGAAGGTGCAGAACTTGTGTATATTTGATATTAACTAACGTATATATCTCTGTATCTTTTTGGTTACTCCCTTTATACTTATAGATAGGAGTATGCCATATACTTGTGTAATTTTAATTTCATAGGATAACATATTCAGTTATAATGACTAGCAAAATTATTCCTAACATACTGCTGGATTTCTCTTTTGTTCCACCAGTTCAATAGTGTTGACTGGAACTGCATGTTTGTCTTGAGAGATTATTTCTTCCATCAAGAAAGCAAGAGTATGGCTAATTTGTGTATTAATCTGTGTACTTATCTACACAAAACAATACATTAAAATAATGTTAAGGTTGCAGAGGAAAGCCCTCAAAAGTCATTAAGTTAGTGTTTGGATTTATCTCCTTAGGAATTTGAAACAACCTTCAAGAAAGGCCCATTAAAGTTTGAGTACTGATTGCATATGATCAGAAATGAACAGGGTAGGTCGTCTTATTTAAGAGGGATGGCTGTCCACATATGTTAATATGGAATAAAATGGAGTGCAAGTTTAAGTAGCTATTCCAAATTAACAATACATGCAAATCCTCTTATCCTGAATAAAATGATCTGCCCATGAGATAAATGTAGAATGCTCAGGCATTATGCAACTTTGGTGACATTAGGACTGGTCTATTACCATGTGCTGTACATTGGACTGCCGAAGAAACAAACTTATTACCTTTAGACTGTGAAGAACACAGTGGCTTTTACCATGAAAGGGCTGAAGGATTCAGTCTATCAGTTGCTTTGAATACTAGAAGTAGAACCCTGGTGCAAAAACCAAGTTAATGGTTTCATTTGAATTTTTTAGCTTTACATCTTTTAAAGTAGAAAAGACATTAGTTCAAGCATTTATTTATGGAATTGAATTTCTTTAGTACTGCTCTATGGTAATATCCTGGGTGTCTATACATGTGCTCCAGACTGGAGGGGGGCGGGTGCTTTAATTAGAGCGGCTCTCAGAGCCGCTCTAAAGCACCCGCAGTGTTACATGCGTTCAGTGTCCCACACTTCAAAATGGCGATGGGGGCGCTTTAACTAAAGCTTGTTTGACAAACTGTAGTTGAAGCACCCCCACCACCATTTTGAAATGTGGGGATACTGAATATATGTGACACGGAGGCTGCTGGAGTGTGCTAATTAGCACGCTCGAGCAGACTCACAGCAGACTTGATTAAATGAGTCTGCTCCGATGTGTGCTAATTAGCACGTGTTGGAGCAGAGCTGTGTCATGTGTACAGGTGCCCATACAGACTGGGTATTGAGACTTTAAAGAAATCACATTTTGAAACCAGAGTATAAATAAAAAAATAATCTTATTTTAAGTGAAAAATTGTTGAACAGAACTTGAGAGTACTGATCATCATTATTACATCATGATTTTGATCTGGCAGCTGTGATGCTTAAGAATAAACTCCATGACTTTTAAAATAAAAAGTCAATTGCTTGAAATGCTCTTCAGGTATCTAATGTTAGTAACTTGTGCATATGGGTTGTAAAGAGTTTCAGTATAATCTAGCAGCCGCAGTGAATTTAGTATATTATGATATTGGCAATAAAATTTTAACTCCAGTGGTACTAGCACAGCTTACTCTAGAATTTTAAAACTTTGTTTTTGAAAATGTGTTCATTTTATTTATAGATGCAATTGTTATAGCTTTGTGCACAAGAGCAGTAATTTTAAACAGTTTTGTAAAGTTGTGCAGTAACGTTGTTTTGGTGGAGGTTGAAGCTGGTATATGATAGTTACCTCTTAATCCAGATACATTTTAAGAAGCAAATACTCTCCTTCTGGAATAAGACAACTAAAGTAATAGAAATGACCACCCTTCAGAACATAGATACATTTAAAGCAAGCATAAAGCTGGGACACATGAACAGAGAGGGTTGTCCTGGGCATTGTTTGATGGAGTTGTGTGGATCACTCGGCAGAAGCACTGCATGCAGCCAAAGTACAGGCAGAGGGGCAAACAGAAAGCTGAGCAGACAGCAAGAGAAAGCAGTGGGGACTGGAGAGAAAGTAGAAGTGGGGGATCATTTTGTGCAGAATGTTGTGTACAAAGAAGGTTGGAGTTATGAGCAAAGAAACTGCCTCTTGTTTGATTCTGACAGTGTTCAAGCAAACAAAACGTAGTGTATATTCTTTGTAATTAAACTAGATTGTATCAAGGATGTCTCTGATTCTATCATCAGTTTATCTTCCTAACAGAAAATATCCAAGAACCCAAACAATTAATGAATTTCAAGACGTTCAGAGTTTTCACAGGTTCATAGATGTTTGGGTTGGAACAGACCTTAGCAGATCATCAAGTCTGACCCCCTTCCCTGGGCAGGAAAGAGCGCTGGGGTCAGATGACCCCAGCCAGGTGTATATCTAGCCTCCTCTTGAAGACTCCCAAGGTAGGGGAGAGCAACACCTCCCTTGGAAGCCCATTCCAGATTTTGGCAACCCTTACTGTAAATAAGTTCTTCCTGATGTCTAACCTAAATCTGCTCTTTGTCAGTTTGTGGCTGTTGTTCCTAGTTACCCCAAGGGGTGCCCTAGTAAACAGAGCATCTCCTATTCCTTGCTCCCCCCCCCGATGAATTTGTAGACAGCCACAAGATCACCTCCCAGCCTTCTTTTGTGGAGGCTGAAGAGATCCAGAGCCATCAATCTCTCCTTGTAGGGCTTTGCCTGTAGGCCCCTAACTATACGAGTGGCCCTTCTCTGAACCCTCTTGAGGTTGCCCACATCCCTCTTGAGGTTGTCCACAACCCTTTTGAAGTGCAGCACCCAAAACTGGACACAGTACTCCAACTGCAGCCTGACCAACGCCACATAAAGGGGAAGTATCACCTCCCTGGACCTGTTTGTCATGCACCTGCTAATGCATGATAAAGCATGGTTAGCTTTACTGATCACTTTGTCACATTGACGACTCATGTTCATTTTGGAGTCAACAGTGACTCCAAGATCCCTTTCCGCTGCTGTCCTGCTGAGAAGGTCCTCCCCCAGCGTGTAAAAATATGCTGGTGATTCCTTCTCCCCAGGTGCAGCACCTTGCATTTGTCCTTATTGAACTGCATCCTATTCTGTTCCGCCCACTTTTCCAACCTGTCCAGATCCACATGGATTCATTCCCTACCCTCTGGTATGTTAACCTTACCCCATAATTTGGTATCATCTTCGAATTTGGACAAAGCGCTTTCCATGCCCTCATCCAAGTCATTGGATGAAGGCATTGAATAGCACCAGTCCAAGGACTGAGCCTTGTGGGACTCCACTGCCAACATCTTTCCAGGTAGCTACTGACCCATCCACCGCCACTTTCTGGGTGTGACCCCTAAGCCAATTTACCACCCACCTGACCATGTAATCATCTATGTCACAGTCACTCAGTTTATCTATACAAATATAATGAGATACCATATCGAAAACCTTCTTAAAATCCAAGTAGATGATATCCACCTCTATTCCTGCATCTAAGCATTTTGTGACCTGGTCATAAAGAGAACCAAGGTTAGTCAGGCAGAATCTACTTGCTATGAATCCATGCTGGTTGCCCTTTAGCATTGCTTTCCCCTCTGGACTCCCACAGATGTGATCCTTAATAATTTTTTCAAAGGTTTTCTCAAGGATAGAGGTGAGACTAAATTGTTTATAGTTACCTGGATCCTCCTTCTGCCCCTTCTTGAAAATAGGAACCACATTGGCCCCTTTCCAGTTTTTTGGGACCTGACCTGAGCACTAAGAGTGCTCGAACAGCTGTTCCAATGGCTCTGCTATGCCACTGGCCAATTCCTTCAGCACCCTTGGATGAAGATCATCCGGGCCTGCTGACTTAAACACATCCAGCCCCTCCAAGTGTCTCTTCACTAAGTTGGTGCTAACAGTTGGTGGGTTGTTTCCCTCTTTATGCCTGTCTATGATCCAATTGGGAGATTTGTCCTGATCCAAGTTCAGGAATACAGAGGCAATAAACTCATTGAAGAGCTGAGCTTTGTCCCCCCTATCCATCCCTAATTGCCCTTGTTTGTCTTGTAGGGGGCCTATGCTACCCTGTGCCTTCTTTTTGTTCCCTATATACCTGAAGGACTTTTTGTTGTCTTTAATTTTTGTTGCCAGCCTAAGTTCCGTTTCTGCTTTGGCCTTTCTGACTGCCTCCCTGCAGGTGTGGGCCAAGTAGGTATACTCTGCCTTGGTAGCTACCCCTGCTTCCACAGCCTTTATTCCTCTTTTTTTGCCCCAAGGCTTTCCTGGGTTTCTC